CTTTTATTTTCCAAGATGTAGTTTTTAAATGTTGTCATTCGCTTACGTCTTTAATGATTGTTTGCTTCAATAAAGAAAGGTTTCTTACGAGTATCAGGGATTTTTGACTGAACGAAATTGATTTTCAACTGTGCATTCGCATTCTATCTTAAAGAGACTATTTGCTCAAAAATTTACACGCTGCGATGAAAAGCAGTTCTTGTCTTACCATTTCCTTCTCAGTCTTCATTAACTATTTTGTAACATTTTACATCCTGTTAGATGTAAAGCATTCGAAGGATTATATATAATTTGTATTTATCAATCTTCAATTCGAAGAACTGAAACTTCAAATTCATACTCCACAGGACTACAATTTACTCTTTCTTTCAAATCGAAACCATGAGCGTGACTCGAAGGATTAATGGTAATAGAAAATATGCCAGTCGCAGCTCTATTCTTGATTCTGTACCGTGGTTCGAATCGTCTCGATTTTAACGTTCTCGCGTTTCGAGACGAAAGCGACAAAAGTCGCGATGGGACAAACGATTGTCACTCGTATCCAACGTTCTAACCGGAACGATCCAGGAGAGAGAGAAAGAGAGGGAGAGAGAGGGAGATTCATCGATTCTAACGTTTCCTGGATCTGGACTCGGTCCAAAATTCCTCTTAACAGCGAAAGAACGCGCGACGGCCCGCGCGATCAGCTTTCCCTTCCACCCAGATTCTCGAGAGTTCCCGATCGAGTGGCGAATCGAGCGCGATTTCGAGTTCCTCGAAATCTTCGCGTTCGTTATTCCGTCGTTTAGCGCGCGCGCGGCAGCCCGGGAACGAAAAAAGAAGCGAGATTCATTTTGAACGGGAGCCAAAAACCGCGACGACGGTGCCCGCACGGAAAAAAGGTCTCTCCCCGTGGGCTGTTTGTTTCTCCTGCCAAGTTAGATTTATCGAAATTCTAAGCATCCGGCTGAATACGGGCGCGCGATCTCTCCCCGCTTTTTGCTGCTTCGCCCTAGCCTCGCTCGGCATCCTTCGCCTGATTTATCCCTGTTTTATGCGTTCGCCTCGCGACGCTCCCGATATCGCGGCAGCCAACACCTGCGAATTCTTTCGTTCCTCGAAAGCGAGCATCCTCGGGCACTCGTTGTTATAACGCGTGTACACGCTAGCGAACAGTTCATTTATATACAAGTGACGACGAACTCGAGATCGAGGATTACATCCATTGCGACGCAAGAATAATACGGATAATACGAGATTCAAGTTTTCCTTCTTCTTGCATCATTTGGAAACGAGAGGCATTCATTAGCACTCGGTAGGAACTCGAGATCTTGATATTCAATGATGCAATAATGGCCTCGTTGTAAATGACCATTACTTCTACCACGAGTTAAAAACGAAAACCAGTGTTCGCGATCGATCTTCGAGATAGATCGCAACTGGTCACATTTTAATGCGCCGTGGGACGTTGCCAAGCAACGCGGAACTTTGGCATTCGACGATACTCGAGATCGAACATTTCAATTCGAATCTCAACCGTGAGCGAGTAGATCTCCAGATCGCACGGTTCTTCGAGGAATCCAACAATCAGGGATAATTCCGACCGTGGCCAGGGAGAATCGACGGAGAAAGAAGAACGAAGGGCAGTTAAGTAGTCGCTTATACGTAGCGAGCGTGAAGGCATACGAAGACGAAGGGAGACGCAGGAGTTTGGAAGAAGAGTGGCAGCTAGCACGAAGGCAGGCGTACGAGGCAGTACAGAGCAAGGGAAGAAGTTGAAGAAGAATCGAAACGAGTCGCGTTCCTCGTGCGGAGGGCACACGGGGTCGCGTTCGCAGACAGAGGCATCGCCGTCACGTCGGCCAGAAATCACGGCCGTGCGTCGGGGAAAATTCGCTCGGCAATTGTTTATATTGAAATACGCTCGTGTAGGAATGCTGGGAAATGTATGGACGCGTCCGCGTCGCGCGAGAATCCGTTTCGAAACGTCGAACGATCGCCGGGGAACTTACCTGGATTTGTTGAGAGGGGCGAGGGGGCGGGGGCGGGAGGGAGTCCCACGACTTACCTATTTGTTGCTGTCGATGATATTGCTTCGCTCCTTTTCGTCGCGATGGTTGGACGCGTTTTCGATTAAACGTGCAAAACTCTGTAATTCTTGACATATATATTTCTTTACATTCATACGTATATTCGTGTTTATATTCGCGCTTACGTTTGTAATCGTATTTATATCTGTATTTTATATATATATATATATGTATATGTATATATATATTAATTATGTACACATTTTTATACAAAAATCTTCTCGCGCCTTTATACATATAACGCTATATAGATGTCACTTCGGTCTACGTACACTCAACCGCAACGCAACTCGTGCTCGGTATAATACATTCCCAAGGCTTCCCGCGAGATAAATTGCGTTCGACGAAGCGAACGCAGCGAATCCACTCTGTCAAAGTTCTCTCGAAAGCTCGCGCGAACCTCGGTCCGATCCGATTCTCGCCTCGACCGCGTTCGCTTCGTGGATTTTCTCATCGGGGACGCGCTACTGTTTCGCTCTTTGTGTCTGTATGTCCCGTGTATTATGTGTGTACGTATTTGTTCGGGTTTGTGTGTGTGTGTGTATCTGTGTGTCCGCAGGCGCGTCGCACTTAAGAAACGATCGCAGCTTAAAAATACTAGAAATATCCCATATACCCCTAAAATGGTTGTGTCTAAGTAACTAGTGTTCGACCTCGCCACGTATACGCGTACACGCGTGGCGCTCGCGCTCGATTGTTTCGCATGGTTTCTAACAATTTTGTCGCTCGCCGATGCTGTACAAACGAGCCACCGGGCCCGGCTATCGTACAGTATTTATAACGTAGAAAAAGCACCGATGTGTTGAGAAGCCCGATCGGGATTTCCCGACGTAACGCGCGTATCACATTGCGTACTGCCGAGTTTCCCCGCAATCGTGTGAATAACTGTCGCCGCTCTCGCGATTATTCCCTTCAAAACGACGGGCGACCGCCGATCCGGTCGAACGTATTTGCCACAGAAAAAATATAATCGTTCGCTTCTTCTCGGCTGGCCTCGCGTCGTGCCTCGAACGCGTCCTTCCGAACCGCGTAACTCTGTAATTACGAACGAGAGCGATCATCGGTCGGAAGGCAGATAGATGTACGGGGTACGGCGACGCGATTCGATTTCTCCCTCGTCTCGCAGTCAGGATTTGTTCGAGTTTTCGAAGATATAAATCGCTGTTTTTTTTTCTTTTCTTTTTTTTTTTTTTTTTTTTTTTTTTTTA